GAAGAGCTCGAAACCATATTACCTTACTGGTTATAGACCATAGCTCTATATTAAGCTTCCGCACTTGAACGAGCAACTGCATTTTGTTTCTTACTCTTCGAAGTGACTAGATTTTCTCCAACAAATGTACAATATCTAGTAGTGGACTTCCTATCTGCTTTACAACCCATCCAATTGGCATCATTGTATTCAACAATCTCATTATGTCGTTCTTTTTCATCAGCACGCCTTGTCCTAAAGAACCTTTTAGATATCGTAGAATTCTTTTGACTGCCTGCAAATGGTTAGTGATGTGGTAAAAATTAACACACAAATTAAACCCTCTTTTAGATAATTGTAGTATGCATAAGTAGGGATCGTTCTAGGCCGGGGATTAGGAGGGATGCTAATCTACACTAGCTTGACTCAAAAACTGAAAACTAGACTCAAATACACAAAACTAAGCTAGACTGACTCAAATAACACAAAACAATCACTAAGGGGTGTTTTGGAAGAAAATTGAATTAAATTGACAAGAAATGCTAAAGGGGGATTTGTTTGGACGAATTTTAAACTAAAACTAGGTAGGTTGCAGAAACAAAGTGAGGGTGGTACGAAACTAAGGTAACTTAAGGGGTGAAAGGCTAGCTAGAGGATTCTTCTCCACACATGAAACATATGCATACAAATCGATTTCCAGTTATTATTCCTATAAACCACGAATGACAATACCCTAAATTAACTGTGAACTGCACAAATTAACTCTCAGATTTTCCTAAGTTCATTGAATTGGATTCAGCGATGCAACCAAATTATTCTTATCAAGTTCCCTATATGAACAACATGATAGAGATACATATCAAAGATCATTAAGTTTCTGTGAAAATCATAAGCATTGACAAGGCATTCATAACTATGAATTGCATGATACTTCTGCCAGGAATTTACTTAACACAATCATGACTTGTGACTTTTACTACTTGTAAATATAAGTTCATAACGATTAGGTGAAATTCCCTTATATTCTAGCATCAAATCCCTGCATGCAAACTAAGTGTGCACCCTTAATCAAACACACAATAATGATAGGAGCATATTTATGCGCCTTAGTTAGCTAGTTTTTATGCATTTTCATTATGTTCTCTTCGTTAAAGTAGTCTTTTAATCTACTTTCATGTGTTTTCAGGTTTAAAGGACATATTACATGAAATGATGCAATTTGGAGCTTTTTGGAGCAAAATTGAGCCGAAATGTTGTGTATGCTAATGGAGCACGAGGAATGGACAAGTTTGAAGGTCAAAGGAGCTTAAGAAATGAAGAAATAAAAGTGAAGAACAAAGAAGTCGGAATTGGCAACCAAAGTTTCTAAAATTGGAAGTTCCTATTCTTGGAGGTTTCCATTTTCGTGAGTTTCTATTCTTGGCTTTGGGCTTTGAGATGACCTAAACCCTAATTCCTTGTGGATCCTAAGCCTATGCCGCACCCTAGGCCCTTTTCATTTAATTTCTGCCAAGTTAAAGCCTACTCTATCTCCCCTAGGGTTTGGGCCGCACCTCTCCCCTTCTAGAACACCAATTTCCTTGCCTTGCAAGGCTTTCTAGAAGCCCTAACCCTAGCCCACTCCTTGCCGCACCCTAGGCCCTTTTTCTCACCAAATTTCTGATTGTTTAACCTATGTTTCTGATGGACTTTAAGCCTTTGCCGCACCTAAACCCTAGCCCATGGTCTAATCTGATTTCTTTAGGGTTTTAGGTGCCTATATATATGTGTTTTACTCCTTGCCGCAGGTATCATCTCTAGACACAATTCAGAAATTATTCCAACCTTATTTCCCCACCTTGCCGCAGCCACCATCACCCATATACCTCCTTGCCGCAACCATTCTACCCTTCCAGCCACCATTCTACACCTCCATACACCATCCATACCCCTTGCCGCACCACCATACCATCCTAACTCCCTTCTAAAACCAAAATCACATCCAAAAACACCCTAAACCCTCTCTGCCGCAGCAAGGAGAAGAAGAAAGAGGAGCTTGAAGTCAGAAATTCAAAGTGGAATTGTTGGGCGTTTTAGGTGTAATCTTTCTTATGTCTTCGATGTTTCAATTCAATAAATTTTGTGTTGTGAGTATGAGAAACTAAACCCCCTTAGTTGGGGGGTAATTCGAAACCATGTACATGCTTGCAATATGATTTGATTACATTCAGTTGTTATTTCATAAGTTGTGGATTTAATTCGTTCATCTATTTGATTGATAATTTATTTGTGTATGTTGATTGAGAGTGCACGCTTAGTTTTCATGCATGAATATGATGCTAGATTATGAGGGAGTTTCACCTAGTAGTTACAATCTTATAATCACAAGTAGTGAAGGTCGCTTGAAAACGATCGCGTTGAATGAATTCTTAGCATAAGTTTCATGCAATTCATAGTAACAAATGCTTCGTCAATGCTTATGTTTTTCATAGAACGTAATGATTCGTGCTTGTATCTCTATTATGCAATTCATGTAGGGAACTTGTAGGGAATGTTTTGGGTTGTCGTATGCAATCATCCAACCTAATAACTTGTGGAAAAACTGAGGGTTAATTAGTGCAATTCACGGTTAATTTGGGGTGTTGAGTATTCATAATTTATTGGAAGAACAACTGAAAATCGTTTTGTGTGCAAGTGTGACATGTGTGGAGAAGAACCTCCTAACTAGCCTTTTATCCATCCTTTTCATCCAAAAACGTTTTACAATCTGTTTAGTTTTAAGTCTCTGTTTTGTTTTCAATTTTCGTCCAAAACAAATCCCCCTTTATTTTGAAGTCTTAGATTAGTTAGAAAGTGTTTTGATTTGTGTTTCTAAGTGTTTTGATTCAAGTTTTCACCCAATTTCGTCCAAGTTCTTGTTAGGTTCTCAAAACTGCCCAGAAAGTGGTTTTTAGGCAGTTTTGAGTCATTAGGTTGCTGTTTTGAGTTTTAGGTTTGTTTAAGTGTTTTAACCTATAGTTTTGCATTCTTTGAGTCTAGTTTAGTGTTTTAAACTTTGTTTTTGAGTTTTTAAGTCAGTTTCCAAGTGTTTAGCAATCCCTCCTAATCCCCGGTCTAGAACGATCCCTACTTACATCTTTGCTACAATTTGATAAAAAGAGGGTTTAATTTGTGTGCTTATCTATTTCGCATCAAATAACAAGTTCTTAATAAAACAGATAAGTAAATTTTAATTAGTAACAAACAATAATTTCAGTCAAATTATGATCAATCTCATCATAAAATCGGTGAAATAATATCTTCGACAATCTGTTTATGCCATTAAGAACGTATGTGTGAACGAACGTTTTGCACAGAGAATTTTGTATGTAACACAACTACTAAGTTAATAACTGATAGACAGATACATGCATACCTGAAAGACACCAATGCCCCTTTTGAAATCAGATTCAGGCATCAAAAGCACCAAAGAGACATGTAAAGTGTGTCCAACAGGAACTCCCCCCACATGCTTCCTAGAGTATGAACTCTTGTCTTGGTAAATATCATTAGCAGAACCAAAAGCAAAGACAGCCGTCGGATGAGGCTCCGTGTAATCAAAGTGGAACCGCTCCCTGACGAACACCGGCTCCTCCACCCAAAGATTCACCAACCCAATTCCGAAAAGAGCGGATAAAATCAAAACCATGCAGACATAGGCGGCCCCTAGAAGCCCGAAACCGATGTTCTTGAGGAGGAGGCCGCTACCATGCGTGATGGTGGAGGGGGCCTGGTGGACGGAGGTTTCAACGGTGTCTTTCGCCTCCTCGACTTGGTGGTCAGACTCGGAGGCGGCAGACAGGAGGGAGAAAATGGAGGTGGAGAGAGTGGAAAAGCAGTTGTAAATCAAATCTGGTTGTAAAGACACAAGCTTTTAGAGCCAATCTGTTGGTTTTAGTAGTCCATACTCATCATCTTCATCAAATGTTGGTGTCTCTGACGGCGGAGGCGGCGGCGGGTGGGTGATTGTTGATGTGGGGTAAGTAGCATCCATATCTTTGAGTCTCCGACTCAAGAGAGAGAGAGAGAGAGAGAGAGAGAGAGAGAGAGAGAGAGAGAACGCTAGCTAAAGCTAAACATAGCTAGCGGCAGAGTTCCAGCCTCCAGGTGTGTAATTTGCATGAAAGGAAAAGATGCGACGTGGAAGTGTTGCTGTTTGAGGAGTTGACATCTGTTCGGTCTGTTGTCAAACTGCACACACCCATGTCAACAGCGGAACTCCATGTATGCGCATGGTAAGAAGCTTGCAGTAGTTTTCGGAATGTTGAATTTAGGGCCGGAAAGGGTTATCAGAATTAAGAAGAATCTGAGAGTTTGTGGGGATTGTCAATTTGTCATACAGCTTCCAAGTTTATCTCCAAGGTTACTGGAAGGGAAATTGTAACGAGAGATGCTCATAGATTCCACCATTCAAGGATGGTGCATGTTCTTAAAGGAATTTTTGATGAACATAAATTCGTTAGCTTAACAAGTTGCGTTTATGTTAAAATGAACACAATCTGTTAGCAAAGTAACAGTTGTATCGAGTAAAATTTTTGGTTTAATTACATAAAAATATTGTTCTTGTTTAGTTTAACGTTTAACTTGCGTTGGAAGGCAAACTTGAACTTAGTCAAGTTGGCTAAAACAATATACTTCCCTCTATGCATTTAAGTTTGAATCTCCCTCCCCATAACTTAAGACTCGTTTGGAAGTGCTTTTAAAATAACTGAAAGTTTTTTGGTGAATAGATTTTGGGTTTCAAAATCACTTCACGTGCTTTTTAGAAAGAAAAAAAAACATAGGATATATGTTTTTTGCAAAAAGCACTTCAAGTGTTTTTTCATGATCCACTTAAATTTTTACTAAGAAAAAATTAGATTAAAAAACATTCATTAAAATTATTTTCAGTCATTTTAAAAACGGTTTTAAATGAGCCAAGAGATTAATATAGTGTGGAGTATCATTCATTTGTATAAAGTAAAAACTTGTGTTGAAAGCTATAATAAGATTCATGAATTAACGTTCATATAGGAGGAGGAATTATTACACACTATTTTAGGCTATATATAGCATGCATGGTTATGAAGTAAATAGTATTGAGTGCCGTTGGGTAATGAATAACATACTAATAATTATGATGAATCCATTAAAGTAAATCCTAGTTGGAATCATTAACTCATTTCATCGACTTTTGAATTCAAACCAAAACCAAATGTTGTTTCTACATAAGAGACATGAAATCATAGTTAGCACGAATATTAAGTGAAATGCAACAACAATCGCACACACAAGAAATGCTGGTCTCTCAAGGTGATAATCTTTGTCATTTAATAATTTAACGTTAATTTTTGTGTCAACATTATAAAACAGTGTGCAAAAAACATGAACACTTATCATCCAACAATTTAATGTTAATTTTTGTGTCAACATTATAAAACAATATGCCAAAAACATGAAGTGACCAATAATGTATTTATCGTGTACTCGTAAATTAGAAGACTCAGCCACGTGGGACTTCTAACCGCATATTAATTTGGATTATACAAACAAAAAGCGAACCTGCTTCTCAAGATTTGCGGCTAGCCATTAGCAAGCCAAATCCCACGCTTAAGTCTCCAACTCCCTACACAAACCAATTACATTATTGAAATAAAACTACACTAATTACTCATTAAGAAACTAATACCATAAATATGTGCCAAGTAAAATGTATTTACTATATTTGGTAAGAGAATTAAGCAAATAATACATGGTAAGTATTGTCGTATCATGCATACCACAAAAGAAACACGAATAATAAATTAGATAAGATTAAAACTTGAATACAGTTTGACGAAAATGTTTTCTTAGCCACCCAAGACTAAGAAATTTATAATCATTTATCCTTTAATTCATGGCCACATTAAAAGTACGAGACTCTAAAACCAATAAGCGATGAAATTAGAAAATAATAGCAAAAAAATAGTAGAAACTTAAAGAGAAAATTGAAATGAAAAAGAAGAAAGGAAACAAACTTTATCTAGATTTACGTGAAAAACATTGTAAAGAATGAACACGTATTGGATTTTTGGGGGGAGTTTGTTTGGGTTCATGGTTTGTGATAAGAAGAAGAGAGGTGTCGTTTCCGAAAAAAGCTTTAATCTTTGCTCGTTAGAGTTCACAACTTCCTCCACCTCAGCACCCCTTAATTTCCTCTTTAATTTTAATTCGGTGGGTCCCACACTCCCCATTGTTCTTGGTTAAGAGTGACTGTCACTTCACCATTCTCGGGCACATACCAAATATTTCTTTGCTTTTCCGTTTTTCTGCAACAAAAAAATACATTTTGTATATTTGTACCCAGCAGCGTAGGACTATAAACCCAGCTCTGTTTCTCTCTCTCCCCTTCTTCTTCTTCTTCTTCTTCTTCTTCCTCCCTCTCTCTCTAAATCCAATCCGATTGTTCTTCTTCTTGGAAAACATAACTTTTGTACCATAAATTTATAGATATAGAAACTTAAAAGATAAAAAGCCTGTTCATTTTTTCCTGAATTTAAATCAAACCCCATTTATTTATTTATTTAATATTCGTTTGGATACAATAAGAAGGAAGAGGTTTCAGCTCCGCAACCATTCAGGGAGGAGGAGCTGAAACCAAAAACCAAAGTTAGGGTTTTTACAAAATTCTTGCTGTTGGAGAGAGAGGCAGAGTCGCAGCCTTGTCACTCTAGCAGGAAAATCCCAACACACAGACACAAAATTTAGAGTGTTAAAACAAAAAGATGAGACGTTTAAGAAAAATGGAGCAAGAAGACGACGCGGTTGCGGAGAGCAAGGCCAAAGGAAGAGGAGGCGGTGGTGGTGGTGGAGCAGGGAGCAGCATTAGCATAGCAGAGAGGAGGGCAGCCAAGTGTGGATTCAATGCGGAGAGGATCAATACGGCGCGTTTTAGGACAACCAGTCCTCTGCATTCTCCGCCGGCGAGGTCCCCGTGCCTTACTATTCCGGCTGGTATCAGCCCCACGGCTCTGCTCGACTCCCCCATGATGCTCCCCAATTCTCAGGTTTTTCTTTTTTGGTTTTTTTTTTTTTTTTTTTTGGTTGTAAATTTTGGGTTTTTCTTCTTTTGGAGCTAAATGCGTTAAGACTGTATGTTCTTCTGGGCTTTGTTTGTTCCGAAAAACCTCGGAGTGTAGGATACCACGGAGCGCTATAGAATTTTGCAGTGTGATCAAGGATATGTATAACTTTGTATGGTTTTGTTTTTTTTTGTGAACTTTTGGGTTTCTGAACCTCAGTAGTATATCTGCATCTGGTTGCAAGCAATTTGGTAGCAGGGAGAAAGTAAATGTCAAACAGATTAACAGTTTTTACTTTTATTAGTATTTGGGTGCTATTCATTAATCATTAACGTGATTAGAAGAAGTGATTACCTTAACTTTATCCATTTATAATTTGGATTGTTTAGATAGAGAAGTATAACATCTGAATTTGGTATTCTGCACCTTTTGTATAAAAGTCTCTGCTTTGGTATTGTTTGGCTTAAAATACAATCACCAAAAGCTAGAAGGCATATGAATTCTATGGATGTTGAGAGAGTTGCAAAGTCCAAAGCTTTTTTTCTTTCTTTGTGATGTTGTCTAAGATCTTCGATTCTTGTATTCTTCTAGGCGCTTCCATCTCCCACCACCGGAACTTTTCCATTGCATCCTCCCAATGATAACAGCTCGCTGCTGAAATCAGGAACGCATGAAGATGATGGTTACAGGCCGGCCTATTCTAGTTTCCAAAATCCGGTAAATGCCTCAACTTAATATGTTTTAGAATTCAGTAGTCTCAAATTCTTAAATTTGGAAAGAGGTTTTTAAACTTTCTTTTTTCTGGTCCAATTACTTTCTCCAAATGTGGCAGCCCAACAGATTGATATTTTAAATACTAAAGAACCTTGAAACAGTATCTCCTTGTAGTTTACGACAGTTGAAGCATTATTTGGAAACAGATGTAAATGAAGTGTCTAGTTGTAACTTTATAGTTAGTCATTGGAACAACTTTATATGGTTCTTATTTACAGATGCATCCTCTTATCTTCAAATCATGATGTCCAACGGTACTTGTTTAAACCAAAATGTTAATATTTCCTGTGTAGATTTTGATAAGTTGCAATCATAATGTTAATGCTAATGTTTCCTGTTTAAACTAAAATGTCCAAGGGGGAGTGATTTTGATAAGTTTTCCAAGGGTGTAGTTTCCTGTCTGAACTTGCCAATAAATTATTTTATAGTTTTTTGCGAGGTTGTGTTTGAATGAGTTTGGTATCTTCCCATTGCATTTTCCTCAGGGGTCTACTGTTGACTGCCAAGCTCTTGTTTTGGAGCAACCACCAATGGAGTTTCAATTCCCGATGGAGTTTCCAGAAGAAGCTAATGCAACGAACTATGCTGTGGATCTGTCCTCTAATATTAGAAACTTAAACAGTGTGATTATGATTGCCAACGGCGCAGACTTGCAAATGTCTCATTCCAGTGCGGCTAGTGATCAAAACTTTCTTCCCAAAGAATCGATTCATGTGGAGGATCTTGGGTCCCATCACTTTTTGGAAGGAGATCAAAAAGGGTCATACCCATCTGCAGGAATGGTAAGGACTTCAGAAGATGGATACAATTGGAGGAAGTATGGGCAGAAACAGGTAAAAGGTAGTGAATATCCAAGGAGTTATTATAAATGCACGCACCCAAATTGTCAGGTCAAGAAAAAGGTGGAACGATCCTATGATGGTCAAATAACAGAGATCATCTACAAGGGAGCTCCTCATAATCATGCAAAACCGCAGCCTAACCGTCGAACTGGGGCATCGCTTGGACCATCATTTTCATATGATGAGATGTCAGAGATGGGTGAAGGTAGTAGGGCCGC